TAAATATCAAAGCTTGATATGAAATGTTATGGTAAATGGTTTAATAAAAAAGATAATGTCGAGTGCTCGAATTGGTTTGATTTGCCAGTCAAATGGTTGAAATTGTTGTTTGCCCAATCCTATCAGCTATCTCCTTAATCTTGTCTCAATTCTCACGTAAAATGGGATATGTATGAGACGGATTCATGGCATCCCTTTTTTTTACACAACTTGACACATATTTTTGTAGGGCTCACCTTGTAATGTATATGATCTGATCCATCTTTCTTATAGGTCTTCTCTCAAACATCACGTGTTAAAAATCACCAAAATATGAAATCAAATGATCGATGGATTAAGGGTTTAGGATTTCTTTGTAGAATCGTGGTCGTTCATTTTCTTCACTACAAATAAATGTCTTAATACTTTTAGATTTGTCTAATTTTTTGTAAAGATGGTCTATGAACGATGTTTTAAAAGATAAATGGTTCGGATTGTTAAAATACATTATGGAGTGAATCTCACAAAAACGTGTGTCAAAAATGAAAAAACAAAAAAAGATCCTTGAATTGCAATATAGATTGAACTTTACTTTGGAGCCACGGTGAAGTTAAAGGATGTTTTACCAAAACATGGACTTTAGACCCTTGCCAAGAAAAGGAGAAAATACAAATATTGACTTCGACAATTTTGTATAAACAAATGTCTCAGAACGAAAAATGTAACAAATCTGGGAAAAATAGAATTAAAAACATTAAAGGCCAAATTATTGTTTTTCCTCCATCGGAGTCCACATTCAAATCTGAAGGGAACATCTAAATCCTGAATCTTCCCTGTAATTGAATAACAAAAGATCATCTGCAACCTCAAACGTTCTTCTTCTCCCTTACAAGCAGAGTGAGTGCGCACACACAGCAATTCCAGAGAGTTTCGGGTGAGCTTTTTGTCTCCGGATCAGGCACTTTTTGCTTCGATTCAGTTGTAAATTCATTCGCAAATCGCAAATCCATCTGATTCTCGTTGAAAGCTGCATACTTTATGAATGTTAGCTTGTATACAGAAGTTGGGTTGATCTCCGTTTTTCATATTGTTCTGTATTTGTATCATAGATTTCTTGATCAGCATTGATTTTTTGCCGTAAATTTTCATCTGGGTATGAATAGTTCCATTCAATTTATTCCGCGGAAGCTGGATTTGCTGTACTATAATGAGCAATTATCCGTTTCGGCCCGGCAGTCCCAAGTCCTTTGTAGCCTACCCGAGTGGTGAGTTTGATTTAGAATCTGGAACATTTAGAAAACCCCGAAAGCATAGGAGTTCATCATCGCATCCCATCAAAATGATTAGGTCTATCGGAAACCGAATTCAGTATTACTGCAAGCTGCATCCCCTTTTAGTTTTCGTCATCTCCTTGTCAGTTGGGGTCTCAATTCTCATACTTTTGTCTCTGTATGAGAGAGGGTACCAAATGACGAATAACTACCAAAACTATGACGTGAGTTCGTCTAGTTATCCGTTACCGAATCTCCAGAATCTAGTCATGGTTGCCGGGCATTCAGTTTATACTAGTAGTAGCTGTGGAAAAGTTGATAAGGAGGATTCTTGGTTTTTGGAGTCTTACCCGAAGAATCCAGGTCAGGCTGCTACTTTCGTGGCTCATATACAAGAGGGAATTGGAGTCGCAGCCAAAGACAATAGAGCTCTCCTGCTGTTTAGTGGTGGAGAGACTCGAAGAGAGGCCGGTCCTCGCAGTGAAGCACAGAGTTACTGGGCAGTTGCTGAATCAAAAGGATGGTTTGGTGAGTTCCTGTTATTTCTCTTGCATTAGACATGTTTTGGCATGCCTTCTTTTACATGTGATTCATTTTTAAGCCAAGACTATTGACTGGTGATTGTATGAAGAACGATATATAGGATGCTTTTTAGTTCCCATGTACTTGATTTTTTATAATCTTTTATCTTACGCTATTATCTGCAGTTGCATTGAATTTATAGTATTTGTGTAAATAGGTTCTTCGGTAGAAAAGAAAGGATTAAATGCTTTTGTCTTCCCTTAGGAGAAGAGGTCTTGCAGAAAAGAAAGCAGATTATTAAATCTTGCTGGTGGCATTTTCTGTTACTTTTATTTTTGAAGTGCCCAAGAAGGTTGGCAGCTTTGTTTGTTGCAATAGACACAAAAGAATTAATTGTCAAATTCATAAGTTTACTGCTGATAGATATAAATATATAGACATGAATTTCCTGAAGCATGGTGATTTGTGACCAGTTGCCATGTTGACCATAGAAATCACTTTCACTTAAAACCCTTGGCAAACTTGAATGTCTTTCAAAGATTGTTTTTCATAATTGAGTAAGCTAATAACTGCACATGGAATTTCTATTTGTTGACAAGGCTGTTAACAAGATAAACCGAATTACACAAGTTGTGAAATGATTTGAAGTTTTGAGTCATATCTTTGCTAGTGACAGTTATCATCCAGGGAAGAGATATACAATATATGCAAGTTGTGTACACTTCGTGTTTTACCTTTGTCTTCGATTCCACTTGTCATCTTCATTTTGGATTTTGGATGAATACCATATTGTCATTTGAAAAAGCTAAAAATAGCAGTGCATAAGTTTGAAATTTTGTGGGTATGTTTAAATAACTACATAGTATATCATTTGACAGTGGGAGTACTGAAATTTCAGTAGGACCGGAAATATCATGCATATTCCAGTTGCACAAGGGGTAACTTTATTGAAAGTATTAGTCCTTTAGTCTAAATGTTAGTCAATTTTCACTTTGGTCCACTGTTGTTCCTTTCCGCTATCCTCGTTTCTTGAATTTACTATAACAAAAAATGGTAATTCTGCAAGTCTCATCCATTTCATCATTCTGTGTTCAATGGAATTAGTTTTCCTGTTTTAGTTGCATAAAAATAAGGAAGCAGGCAATACCCCTGTTTTTTGGCAGATCATATACCATTGTGGAGTTATTCGGTGTATGCAAATATTCTTTTCTTCAATCTCGTTCCCTCTTTTATTTTGTTTCTTTCTCTCTGTTATATTTCTCTTTCTCTTAGTATCTTTTATGCGTGAACTACTTAAAGTCGTTTCGTTCTATGCTGAGCTGATATTGTTTATGCTACCAATTAAATGTTTCTTCATGTTATATGCTTTTTACATTGTTTCTGGTCTGCTACATATTGTAATGTTTTATTCTTCCTTTTGCCTTTCCTCTTCTCCTGTCACTTCATTGTCCAAATCTTAGTTGCTTCTGTAGAGGAGAATAAAGCATGATTGTACAACATTAATTTATAGCCATGTTGGCCTGGACCATCTTTTACTGATCTTTAACTCATGTAAAATGTATGCCATGATGGTTTGTTTAGGCCAAGAAGATTTGAGGTCGAGGACACTCACAGAAGAGCATGCAAGGGACAGTTTTGAGAATCTTCTCTTCAGTGTGTGCCGATTCCGAGAACTTACTGGCACATATCCTCAAAATATAACTGTAAGCCCATTTTGCCCAGTCTGGTTTGCCTACTTTGAAGCTAAAATAAAAGTATGGTGCGCCTGTGTCTTGACATGGGAATAAAATATCATAGAGAAACAGTTAAGCACCCATTAGCATAAAGAGCGACAATGTAGGCTGAGCGCACATATGTACGCATATATATGTGCTTATGAATAATATAAAATTTAACTGCTCACTACAAGAAGTCAATATATGCATCATCCAATAGAAAAATTGAAAAGACATCTCTCTCTCTCTCTGTCTGAATAGACAATACTTATGGTATGTGCTGCCGAGAAGAATAAAATTGTGATTGCTCATTCATACTTTTTTCTCTTAGCTTTGAAACACAATATATCATTTCTATACGAGTTACTTTAAACATCACACAAAGGCCGCTCTGCATGATGAGTATTCCACTAAGCATGTTAAGCACTTTTTTGGCTTTTCTTAAGCTTCGTAATTTCTTTATGATTTGATTGAGTTTGTTGGGTTTACCACTATTCCCGAAAGCTCAATCTGTTAGGACAATTATTTTATAGTCTAGCAGTCCACTTTCTCACTTTGGCCTCATTACACCACTAGAATCCAACATGTAGAATTCATGTTCATATTGGGGGTTGCAATTGCAAGGATTCAAATTCAAGATTCCTGCTGTGATACCGTAATAAAGTTTGCTAGTTTACCATTGTTTGAAAAGCTTAAGCTGTTAGGATTCGAACCAACAATTACTTTATAACCTAACATACTGTATGCAAACCAGGTCGTAAGTTATGATTTCAAGGAGCAGAGATTTGTGCATCTACACCGCGCTGCAATTGGCTTTCCTGAGTCAAGGTTCTTCTATGTGGGTACCCCAGCAATTTCCACTGCAAAAGTAGCAGCCCAGAAAGGAGAAGCAATTGTGCGAGCTCAATTCCAAGAAGATCCATATGGATGTCGAGGTTCACTTTACCGTAAAAAACTAGGGCGTGATCCATTTCACAGGTCTATTCCCTATCCAAATGGGTGTCCTGAAATTGAAGGTCTTTTCAGATATTGTGGGTCAGCTCCTTATCCAGGGTCCCTTCCTTGGCCTAAAGAGCTAAATTAATCTAAATATTCCACTGGGAGTTCCAATCTCACACAAATTGTTTCCTTTTTCCTTTGTAAACAACATTTTTTTGAATCAATATTAAGGTATATGAAAAGATTAATATTTGTTCAGTGGTCTAGTGAAACATATTTTGGGGCACTATCAAATTTAACAGTCTGCTGGTCCCCGGGTGGCGGGTATAGTCGGAAGAGTTGGCTGCTCATCTCGGTTGATAGGTTGATTGGTGGTAACTTTGAGTCTTGTAGCAGCCATGTTTTGTGTTTAGGGTTTAGATTTGTTTGTTATTTGGGACTCTTAAATGTTTGTATGCGGTACGATTTACAGGTGAGTAATTGCTGTTTTCGGTACCATTTATTGTAAATGCTGCAGCGAGAACCCTTTTCATGTTATGTTTGCATGAGCGGCGTCCTGTTTGTAGGCAAATTCTTTAAATTAAAAACAGAAGAAAGAGATGCATAAATTACTGCCATAGAACAGAAAATACTTGAGAAATAAGTACACTTTGTATGCCAATGTGGGCATGGATTATTCCTTAGTCCTTCGCTTATAGCAACTACTATTAGATTGTGACACCCTGGCTTGTGAAGCTACCCTGTGTTCTTCAAGAATGGGCAACCTAAGGCTGCCTCTTTACTCGAACTGCCAACGCTTGCACCCTTCATAAGGCCTCCGAGAAGTTCACCGCGGTCGAAAAAGAACTCAACCTTCACGATTTTCCCACCATCGTCCAACTGCAACAAAATCTCAGGGATGAGTTCCATGACAAACTAGCTAGAGAAAGAACAATGTGCAAGGCAAGAAGATTACCTCAAAGATAGCCATCCCAAAGAGTTCAACCTGTTCGCCGGTAGGGGCATGGCCCTTGAAAGGGCCCTCCATGAAACCCCAGTGCCTGAACTTGTATACAATCACCGGTGGACCGGAGTACACATGGAGAATCTCTAGGGCAAAACCGCGTGGGAAAGTGGTTACGAAAGCCATATGAGCTGTATCTATGGTTTCTTCTGACGGGTTGTAGCCCCGGAGCTCATCCGGCAAAGAGGTTTGCAGCAAAGAGTTGTAGCCTCCCCCAAGCTTTCTCTTCTCTTCCAAACTTACAGCTTTCCTTCCTGTAAAATATAAAGCACAATCGTATATTGAAACATGACTTGGATTCTCAGGTGAGGCATCCCTCAGATAAACTTAATATAAGGACAACGTTGTATTTTTGAAGCATAATCTGTTTTCTTGACTACAATTAGATGGGTTTGAACGTCTCTAAGTTTTTGCAAAATTGATCTATGAATAATATAATTAAAATATAAACGGTTCGGTTCGTTAAAAAATGTTATGGACGATGTAGCTTTCAAGCTTGAATGAAACAATGATTACCGTTTAGGCTGAATGTGTACTTCTTGGGATCAATTGTCTTAAAATCTTCATCCCTTACTTTATGAAACATCTCCATTTCCCATGTCTTTACAAGGTTTTGCACTTTCTCTTCCAGTGATCCAGGAGGCCATGTCTTCCATCAAATAATGATAAAAACATGTCAGAAAAGTTCAAATTAAACGAGGAGGGAGAGGAAGGGAGAGAGAGAGAGAGATACCTTGGTTCTGCCTTGTTCAAAGATTTTGTTGACAGCACCATAGTTAGGAGGAGCCCCATATCTCCATTTGGTGTTCTTCTCTTCTTCTCCATACAAGTTGTAACGGTAATTATCTTCCTTAACTCTTGGTGAGGCCATCTTAACTTACTAAAACAAGATAACTTTTGAGCCTTGTGTGAGTTGTGTGTTCTTCTGAGGTCCTTATACATATATATACAGTGAAGCTGTAAAGACTAGTCTTTGATGCCAAATTTTCAAACATATTAGTGGATTAAAGAACAGAAAAAACAGTGACAATGAAATTAATTGATTGTTCTAAGACGAAGAACTTGACTATTCGACAGACAATCCAAGTATTGTACAAAAATTCATGGCCAGATTAATCCCCTTTAGCCATTCACAAGATTCATGGCCAGATTAATCCCCTTTAGCCATTCACTGCAATTTTTCTCCTTGCAGATTCACGGTCGGATTTACGTTGTTCCAAAACCACTTTGGTTTTGTGCATCAACAAAACATATTTATAGTTAGTTTTTTTTTTTATTTACTTAATTCGTATAATCTCGTGACAACTACAAATGTCAATGAGAAACACTTTATGAATCAAACTATGCAAAAATACCTTTCACCTACCATTAACATTAGACAGTTACAGGTTTACAACCTTTCACGTGGAACATATATTATACTTCTTATATGTCTGTTCAATGCATCCTTTCAAATATATTATATTAATAAACTTGAATCGGTAGCCTTTTAAAATCAAATTACCCCATGAACTTGTATTAAATTGTAACCTACTACCGATTTACCCCATGAACTTAAATTATATTTCTTATATTAACTTGTAAGCTACTACCAATTTACCCCATGAACTTAAATTTTAATCAATTACCCCCCCAAAACGTTTACTTATGACCAAATTCCCACCTTCCGTTAAATATCACACATTTCATCCATGATTCCGTTAGTTTGGAGGGCAAAATCATCATTTTTCTGCCCTTTTTAATTAGCATCTGGGACTTGCGGCGCATGCCATTGGCGGCTGTGGTTCTATGGGTGGGCTTAGAAAACAGTCAGAGAGAGAGAGAGAGAGCAACAAGGAGCTATTGGTGTGGCGATAGGTGGGCTGTGAGAAGGTGGGTTCGCAGGGAGAAGGGAAGGGGGATCACGGCTTGAATCGGGAATCTAGGACCTGCCATTGGAGGTTGTGGGGTGAGTGGGTTATGGCAGGGTGGTACTGGGGCTGAATTTGAGGGAAGGGGTAGGCGGGTGAATTTGATATGAGATTGGGGGTGGCTGCTGGTTTGAGATTTGGGGTGGATGAGAAGGGTTACAATCAGGTAGAACAGGGGAAGTGAGAGAGATGTGGTTGTTTATTTTCTTTTTTATATCTTATTTTTATTGTGAATCATGGATAAAATGTGAGAAATTTAAACAGCAAGGGGGAATTTGTCCATAAATAAAAGTTTAGTGGGGTAATTGAATAAATTAAAGTTGAGGGGGTAAATTGGCACTAGATTACAAGGTTAAGGGGGCTTTCAACAAATACCTCTTCTACTATATATCATCTTTGCAATAGGGCTGGGCATTAAGAAAAAAAAAAAAACCCAAGTGAACCGTCCAAACCGCACCGATGGGTTGTTTTGATTTCATTTGATTTCGTTTTTTTTTTAATTCGGTGGTTAAACTGAACCGCATCGACCTTAATCAATTTGGCAATCGCTTCTCAAAATTCTTAGGATGCGGTTAACCAAACCGATCCGCATATATTTAATTTTAATTTTAATAATAATTAATACGTGTAGTAATATAAATAATTAGTTATTTACAAGTTACTGTGTTTCACCACATGAAAACAAAAACTGATTAGTTTAAGAGTCCCTTAGACCATCTCCAACCTTGGGCTAAATGCCAAATTTCCCCCTATTCCCCCCCCCCCAAAACCCAATCCAACCCAAGCCAAATGCCAATTGAGGGCCAAATTCCCCCCCAAGAAATAGCCCAGAAACGTGTGGACTCTCTCTTTCCCAGGCCACTCTCGGCCCGGTCACTCACGCCACTTGCCCCAAGCGGGCGTTAGCCTTCAGCGCCCGACAGGGTGGGACCCACTGTCAGGGCTGCTGTCGGAAGCAATTATGAGCCCAACGGCTCTTTTGTTCATCGGACGGTTGGCATTATTGGACAGTTGGTTGATCCAACGGTCTAGATTCAAATTTAATTTTTTTAAATGTTATTTTAAAATACATTGAATCCAACGGCTAAGATCGAATATAATCAAATCTAATAGTAAAAAAAAAAGATCTAACGGCCCAAATTTAAATCCAACGGCTAAAATAATTTTAAAAAAAATGAAGGCTTGCTTTGTGGAAAAATTTAGTGATTTTTCAATATTTATCGGAATTTAAATATTTTTAGATTAAAATGTTCATAAAATTAATTTACGATAGTCCACATAATTATTTTAAAAAAAAGTTAATTTAAGAAAAAAATTAGTCTAAGTGCATTTTTTAATAATCCCGGGCTAAAATTTTAGGCCAAAAGAGTTTGAGCAGAAAAGTTGTTTCTAGGCAAAAAGCTAAATTTTTCGGGCTAAAAAATTTGGCTTTTAGCTCAAGGGTTGGAGATGGTCTTAGGAAAAGAATAGTGGCCATTTGGAGAAGGCAGTTGTTCCTTTGGTGCTCTCATTGGGCTGCTTCATGCTTTCATTTGAGTAATAACTCATATTGGTGATACATTCTATAGCTTTTGTGAGAGAAATTTGTTATGTATTTTCATTTTCACACAAACCAAGAACTGACCCAAATTTGTAAGAACAAATAAATTAACCTGCCACTATCGGTTAACCGACTTGATCAGTTTTAGACCTAGCTTGGTCGGTATGGGTTTGCAATTTTGGCCCAACTGACTAGGTCGGTTTGGTTTTGATTTTGATTCAAAACCGATCCAAACCAACCCACGCCCACCCTACTTTGCAGTATAAAGTATAAGTAAACTTTTCTTTTAGGCTAATCGATTCGATCGTGAGCTTGCATTTTACTTTTATCTGGTAGTCTGTGCCTCTTGGTCATTGGTTTAGGTATGTTTTGCTATTTGATAGGCCTGTGTCTGTGGGTCTAATCTATTACAATTTTGCAGTATATATTGTAAGTATTTTCAAAGACACATTTTCACTCTTGGATCTTAATATACATTCGACAAAAATATCTCTTGTAGGTTAAATCCTAATTTTCTTTAATTATCACATGCATGCATTATCTTTCAACTATCCTAGAGACAATTTGTGTAAAAAGAAGATCATGATCTTAATTATGATAAAAGGAATTAGTGATCTCCACTTTATTAATTAGCCAAAAAAAGTGATAGATGACAATAACTTAAAAAACTACAAGTTGATATTGACTTAAACAACCAGGAATGGTAGAATAGCACTTCTATATATGCAAAGGGCTGGCTGTGTATGGGGTTTGATTTAATTCATTGGAGAAAAGAGTCTCCGCCTGCGCAGTAGTTGGTTGATGATTGATACTTTTATTTTATTTAAGATAAATTACACATAACTACCTTAATTATGGATCGGATCACAATATCATACCTTATGTTTTAAACATTACAATGTCATACCTTAATTTATGAATTCGTTGCAATGTCAGATATCTGTTAAATTTTCTATTAATTTTACTGTTAAATAATGATGTGGCAGGAGCAGGGCCCACTCCGTTGCTAAATGGAATAAAAAAGTATTAATTATTAATTTTTTATTTAATAATTGAAATTAAAAATAAAATTAATTAATTAATTAATTAAAAAAAAAAAAAAAACTCCTTCTCTCTCCTTTCTTCCTAGATGCCATCTCTCCCCTCACTCCTTCCTCCTCCCTCACTCCCTCCTTCTCATACCATCCCAAACCCGTTACCCAATCCTACTCTAACTCGCAGCACCCTTCTTCTTCCCCCCACTTCCTGACCCTAAACTCCGACCGCCGACGCCTAACCTCGACAAATTGCTTGGGCCCAGCGCCGACCCCTTGTCACCCCTAACCCCAAAAAGGCTCTCCTGCGGCATCGGCCCCGATCTCGTCTTGTTCTATTCAACCCCAGCGACAAACGCCAGAATGGGAGACACTGAAGCCGCTGGCTTCGACGCCCCCGATGCGAACGTAGACGACTTCTTCGTAGTCCCGCCAGTCGAGCTCCCGGACTTCGTCGGCATCTTAAGCTGAGCTTGCGGACTCTGCCTACTGAATCCCACACCCAAGGTGTGTGGGTTTGTCGGATCTGTGAATGGTGGCCCGGGAAGGGAGTGAGGTGAGGATGGGAATTGGCCGGAGAGAATAGGTGAAGGAGACGGGGGAGGGTTGGGATGTGGTATGATATTATATTTCTGAGTTTGGGATGATATGGTATGAGGAGGAGGGAGTAAGGGGAGTTTGGGATGCGATGAACAAGGGTGATGAATTGGGATTGCGGCATTCAAATTCTGGCCGATCTTAGCATGAACAAGGGAAAAGGAAGGAGACGGCTTCTGGGAAGAAAGGAGAGAGAAAAGAGTTTTTTTTAATTAATTTTAATTAATAAATAAATATTAATAAATTATTATTAATTAATAAATATTAATAATTTATTATTAATTAATAAATATTATTAATTAATAAATACTATTAATTTATTATTAATTAATAAATATTAATTTTATATTAAATAAAAAAATGATAATTTTTTAATAATAAATTAATTTTAATTATTAAATATAAATTTATTAATTAATAATAAATTATTAAATTTTTTATTCCATTTGGCAAAGGAGTAGATTTCACTCTTGCCACATCATCATTTAATAGCAAAATTAACATAGAATTTAACGGATGTTTGATATTGCAACGAATTCATAAATTGAGGTATAATATGACAATATTTAAAACATGAAGTATGAGATTGTGATTTAACTTATAATTAAGATAGTTTTGTGTAATATATCCTTTTATTTAATACAATAAGAACAAAGGTAGAAAATTTGGTTTCCAAGGAATGTTTATTTGACAAGTTTGTGCAAGTACAGGCACATGCAATATTATTATGTTTAGACAAAACCAAAATGGATTTGTCATCCATGCGGTTCCACATAATAATGATATTCCAAAACTGGTTCAAGGCCGCAAGAGTCAAAATTTATAAGTAAATTGGGTTTCTTTCTGTA